TTCAGACTTAAGAGTCATTAAGTGTTTTTTTTGAAAAACAAACAAGCCAGAAGTTTCAATAATCAGTATTACAAATTTCTGTAATAAAATAGTTAAGAATTAAAAAGTAGGTAAGAAATTTATAAAAGTAAGAATAGAATTACCTAAAGGAATGCGCTAAGTACAATATCAAACTTACTAAGGGGCTGTGTTTACAAAATACTTATTTGGTAAGTGTTTACTCGATAAATTTTCTCATCGGATGAACATGATAAAGGCCAAGAATCTTACCGGGTAAGAGCAATAAGAAGGATGAAAAGTCTTACCCAATAAGTAAATATGACAACTCTTACTCAGGTAAACGTTTACTGTGATAACCGGATCTTGGTTATCACCCGAGGTAATTAATACGTGATTATTTGTTATATGATTGCGTGAATACCTGATAAATTGTTATATTTGATCATGTAAGCATGTGTATTTTATGCATGAGAATATATGCATAATATGTAGGTGCATTATATATGTTATATATATATATGCATGATATGGAATTAATATATTTGCATGTGTGTGTGCATGAAGTCTTATACATGCATGGGTGGGGTTGGAAGTATGCATGTATGTGAGGGGGGAAGGGAGAGTGACCGACTTCCTATTTTGGGAAAGGTATAAATAAGGGGTTGAGCCTTCCTTTTATTCTTCTTGCCATTTTTACGAAAAGTGAGCAGTTTAAAGAGTAGGGTTGATCGGATTGCTTTCCAGTTAACATTTTCAAAGAAGTTGATTCTCCAAAAATATTTTAAAGGTGAGTGATTAAAAATCTTTAAAATTTCCTTGAATTTGCATGACTGATTTATGACTGTAAACCTGTTATCTGGATTAGACTTAAATCGGACAAAGAGATGTCCGGATTGTATTAAATCGAACACGTGTTGTTCGATATCCCCTTAAATCGCTCATAGTATTGTACGGTTTAGAGAGATGGTGAGATTCTTGATATATAAATCGGATAAATGTTTTAAACGGAGAAGTAGGAATACGATCAAAGGCTATCCGGTTTAGATATAATCCGCCTGAGCAGTATTATGTAATCTGTTTGAATGAAGATTGGATTTAAAAAGTGTTAAATGTGGTAAATATAAACCGGACAAAGCTTGTTAAGGTTTGTTTTATTATTGTTATCCGGACTTGTAAATTGGACAAATTGAATTGAGTTGTCCGGATAAGTGAATCGGACAAAAGATCTAATTGTTGTCCGGATTGGTTAATCGGCCAAGGCTTGACCGGAGATGAAATCCGGTCAAGTATATGTTGACCGGATTTGTGCATTGACTTGTGTACTGTTCAAACAATCAATATTGTATTCTTCTATAAAGAATGAGAATTTTTGATAAAAATAATTTTGAACTAATAATGTTCCATTAGGACATTTATGACTGCGGTCTGTTCTATTTGGAATTATTTTGTGAAATGATTTATGAGAAGATAAGGGTGACATATCAAGGAGAAGTGTACCATGGGATAAGGGTGGCATATCAAGGAGAGGTGTACCATGGGATAAGGGTGACATATCAATGAGAGGTGTACCTTTGGATATAAGGGTGACATTTGTATGTGTGACGTGTAATATAACTCTTACTATTATATCCTTTAAGATTACTGTGGTCTGAAATCTTTACTTCTTTGTGATTTAAAAGTTTAGGATCAGAGTTCTTATTGGAAATCGTAGTCTGGATGTTATTGAGGAAGGAATAACAGGTTTGGCCTGAAACTTTGAATAAACCTTGTTTAAATTAAAAAGATTCAAAAGTGGCATTATGATAAACCTAGTTAGTGCAAAACTATTTGAGTTTTGATGTATTACCTGAAAGCAGAAGGTTTGGCTTGAAAAGTGAGAAGGTACTAGTAATATGTTCTTACTTGTTTATATATTTGTTATATATATATGAAAATTTGTTTTACATAAAGTTTTGGTGACTTTCACCTTGCAATAACATAAAAAGGGAACACACTAGACCTTTCGGTCTAACCTTCGTTTTGTGATTTTAAATATGTGTTGCAGGAGGTTCATATGATAAGGGGAAGAGGAAAATGTGATATTTTCCTATTTGCATATCTGCTAGAAGATTTGTCTATGATATGTAAAGTTTTGATAGATGGATGTTGAATAGTACAAGAATTGTATTTTGAATTTTTGGACCATGTATTTTGTAATGGTAGATTTTGGTACCGAGGGACCTATGTGGTGTACAAACATGTATTTTTTGTATATGAAGTATATGTAACATGCATTGTGTAGTATGAGGTGTTACACTTACCCTGTAAATTGTTGCATTCGATACGTTTTGATGTACTAAAATCTTACACATCAAAATAAATTATAGTGTTGACTCCTATCGGTAAGCATTTACTGGATAAATATTTAGGTAAACAGCCCCTAAGTTCATATTTGATGACCATAAATTAGCTTACAAACTAGTTTTAGTTTATCAACTAACTTTTCAACCAACAGTTAGTCTAAACAAACGCTAAATACATTGTTCAGTTGAGATTAAAAAAAAATAGATGTTGGTTTTGTCTTCAAACAATCAAGTCGATTGTAAACTGGTTCGGCTTTTGAATTTGGTTAGTTCTGCATCAAACTGCATTGAGACATCTAACTTTGCTAGCTTATGACAAATAACAGATCTTGGTCATAGCCAAAAGACCTGCACCAATTTGCAGAAACTACCATCATAAGGACTCCAAACCAACCATAAAGCTGAACATAAACCAATTTTGGGATAATGGACCATTTTGGTTTGCAACATACAGATTTTGAGTTCTTGCACATAGTGACAATCAACGACGAGCAGCAACAAGAGGCAGCAGATCTATTTGGTGAAGAAGGATCTGCAATCGCCAATCGACAGAGAGAGTTGGGGATAGGGTTTCAAAAGAGTTCTCAATTCTTAGTAGCATTTGTGTTGCACATGATGGTGGGATCTATACTCTGATATTTTTTAGTTAGTCTCACACATAAAAATCCTCATTTCTCTGGTTTATCAACTTTGGGGGGATAATGGTGAAGTTGAAAGGAATTGCATTTTTTTTCATTCTTTGATTCCTCATCTAAATCAACCAAACATAATAATTGATTCCCTTTCCATTTCCCTATACCAAACAACCCTAATTGTTACCACACCCAACCAATTCCGGTCCTATGATGGCTTGTCCAGAGCTGTCCCCTAGTGATCCTCCGATCTAGGGGTTCTTACTCATCTCTATAAGTGAACATTAGCTTGATTTTTCAATTTCAAGCATTTTTCATGAAACCATTTCAAATCAGATCAAATTAATAAACCTCATGTATCGTTTGATTCAAGGATTAAAGGCATATATCCATGATCCTTTCAACACAAACATATTGCCTCTTCAACCTTCAGCATCATGCTATGTTGTGAAAAAAAGAGGCTTGTAATTACCCTCCAAAGTGCTCCCACTGTACCGGTCCCATAGCCATTATAAGGGAGGTAAATCACAGTGTCCTAGAGCAGAGATTTGAACCGCGACCAGGTTGCAGAAGCTCCACCCCCTTTCCGTTGGGAAAATTCAGCAGGGATATCATGTGTATGTTCTCTAAATGGCATATCTAGGGGATAATACCAAATACCACCAACAAATTGTTTGATGGCAGTTCAACATCTTGTATTCATCTAGATGGGCAGCAACTCACAGACCTTGGACTACGGGAATGTGAGGAAACAAGTTGAAGCATAAGTGCATAACAAACAATCAGAGGAAACCATAGAAAGAAGCTCAACAATGCAATCACATCTATGGCACAACTGACATCTTCGGCACACAACTGACATCTATGGACGATGAGAAAATGTCAAGACTCCGAAATCAGGATGAGAGACCACTACCATGAAAGTATACTAGACATATATTCAAACAATACATTACGATGCAAATGCTATAAATGCTACTACGAATAGCTGTGCTGCAAAACCAAACCACTTGGACAGCTCGGAGACATAGACATTGTTGGTCATCCGAGGATTTAAAAACGATAAGATATTTGGATCAACATTAAGCATGTGTGGGCTAAAGAAATTTGGTCAACACCTTAACATTTTTCTCACGACTGTATACAACGCAAACAACCAGCACATAATACGATAATATCCTTGGAGACAAATGTTTGACCAATCAGCATATTCAACACAAGGAAAACCTAATTTCTATAAAGCCGTCCACTCTTAGACATTTTAATGAGCTTATTATTATGTCTACAAGAAGAGTAAATATAATTCTTGGAATTTCAATAATCTCAATAGACATGATGTACTACTCCTATAGGTGATTTCCATCATCAATTGCAGTTCCTTCACAAAATTCATATTTTTGGTGATGAGACACTTCTGTTCTGTAATTCAATAAAATAGAGTTAAGGCACCCCTTTGGAGACAGAGGTCTCCACTGTAAGAAAATTGAATATTTGAGCTTGTCATTTGAGAAACACATGTGCAACCAAAGCAAACAGAAAGGCAGATAAAAAGATTCAAAAAATTTCACAATGGATAAACAATACTTCAAACGAACACGAGATAAATACTGACAAAAATCAGAGGGAAAAGGAGATAACTAACCCAATCTAGAAGAAGCTTTGTATACCTAAAACATCAAACCAAAGGTGAAGTTGATTCAGATATCAACATGGATACGAAAGAAACTAGAATAAAAAAATACAAACCTGATACATACCTTCAGACAATAAATATGGCAGAGAAGGGCTGAAGAACAAACATGATTTAGGAGCCACTTTGAGTTCTTTACATGCTGGTAGTTTTGAAAATGGGACAAATAAAATGTTTCCATCTTTAGGCAAAATGATGGATACTTGGCACACAACCCATAGACATATTATATGATACATCAAACAGATATGTCACTAATTAAAAGTGAGATACTGTGCGCTAATAACAATTTATGAAGATATCTTATTTCCAGAAAGGATAACGAAGAACTTGGAAAGACTAAACTTGATTTACTAAAACATCTAGCAGATAAACAAGAGAAGTCTTTTAGTGAAACAATCGAGATCTGGTGTTTGATTCAATTTCCCTCTCTTCTCCGAAGATCAAAATTCGAATTTTATGGAACTGTCACATATACTATTCTTCAGAATACCCAAAGAAGATACAAACAACAAATTAAATTGGTACAAATTATGATGATACTAACTTGGAAGAATCAGCATAGAAGCCAGAAAAGGAGCATCCCAAACTACCCAGGAGGTTTAACTTAACATATAACTTTAAGAGAGTCATTCTCACAAAGTTTAACCAAACCATCTAACCTGTTTCAAAAGGTGTATCTTCCCATCAAGGATATTTTCTGCAGTCGGAAACTTGGTGTATAGCCTATTCTTTAACATATGAGCCATAACAATCAAAGCAACATCTAACTTATCCCTCACGACAGAATGCCAACCAGATTTCAAAAGTTACTTCCCAAGGTATGAGCCTATTCTTCACCATTTATACAAACTAGTATATCCCTGCTGCAACATATCCTTCCTTGCTCAATCCAGATACGATCATAATTACAGGGAGCAGCTGGTTACAGGCCCCTATCATGCATCTCATTCCACAGAGTTTTTACTTCAACCATCTGTCCCAACTTGTAAAACTTATTTATGAGGAATCCATATGATGCAGATGATGGCTGCAAACCTTGCTGCACAAGTTCATGCAAGAGGTTCAAAGCCTTGTCTAAGTTGCCTTCTTTACAAAAGCCCTTAATCAGAGAATTATATGTTATCACATCTTGAGGAACATCCTTCTGTGCCATTTGCTTAAATAGTAGAAAAGCCTCACTTGCCCTTCCATGCGAGCATAGGCCATTAATCATAGTGTTGTAAGTAACCAGGGTTTCTGCATAATCCCTAACACGCATTTCCTCGTAGAGATTTTGGGCTTCTTTCATGTCCCCAATTTTAAAAAACCCATTTAGGAGTGCATTATATGTGTACTGATTGGGTTCAATTCCTTTTTGAATCATCTCAAACCATAATTTCCTCGCTTCCCCAAGCCTTCCCACTTTACAAAGACCATCGATCATTGTTGTGTACATGATTCTATCGGGAGCATACCCTCTATCCTTGAGGTCATTAAATATATGTAATCCTTCATCATGCATCCCCATAATACACATCCCATGGATAATTTGTTGATAAGTATAGAGATCAGGATCAACGCCCTTTGCAATCATAATGTGAAGAAGAGTTGATACTCTATCATACTTCTTATCCAATACTAATTCAAATATCAACTTGTCGAAAGCAACCTTGTGGGGGACAAACCCATCATCTAGAACTTGTCTAAGAAGCTCATACCCTTTTAAAACATTTTTCTCTATACAAAAGGTTTGGATCAAGTAGCCAACAGTATCAACATCAGCAACAACACCAAGTTCTACCATCTCACCATACAATTCCCACACAATGTGTGTATGCCCATCTTTCATGGAAGCCAGTAAAATACAGTTCCATGTTTCTAATGAAGGACAAACTCCCATTTTTTTCAACTCATCAAACGCTTCAAGTGCATCCTTAATCATTCCACTTTCACACAGACACCTTACATACGATTCAAGACCAGCTGGCTCTGGGACGAATTTCGTATAATCCAGAAAACTCTTCACAGCTTTGACAGCCTTGTCTTCTACAAGTGCATTAAAAACCAAAGCATAAGTTGATTGTGCCGGTGAATACCCATATGTAGAGATGAGCCAATACAAAAGCCTAATTGACAAAAACGCATTATTTTGGTACAGTATAACTTGATTTAGAAAGCTAGAATCCAATAAACTAACACCCGGAAAATCCGACGCAAGTGTATCTTCCCATCTAGGTTTTGACCTAATGCTACCACAAATCTCCTTCACGATCTCACTCGAATATCGAGATTTATCCCAAATGTCATCGTGGCGGCCATCATTTCCACTGTTCCTAAATTGCTGGTTAGGGCTTTGGATAATTTTGGGGGATCGCCGACGAAGTAATATGTTGAAGGAGGATGGCGTTCTTGACATCTATCAAAATGAAATTAGAATTTAGTGAGCAAATGGTAATTGACATAAACGTAAAGGTAAATCATTCAAACGATAATATGAATCTCAGAAGAAGATTTGAAGCAGATGACCAGAAAACAAACCCTAGAAATCGTTTGGATCGTGAAGTCCCCTTCTTTACGTAAGATGAACCAGGAGCCAAAAAAAAAAAACAGTTTAGGAGCAGTTTGGTTGGGTTTTTTTTTTCTTTTTCCATTAATTTACATTTTTCTATAATAAAATATTAAAAGTGAAAAAAAAAATTACACTAATGGTTAAGAGAGCTAGAATGGTCTGGTACAAAATAGTTAAATGATCTGGTTAAGAGAGCCAGAATGGTTAAGTGCTGAATGAAATAACATTGTTTGGTAACTGTTCTCTAAATGACAACAAATTATCATTTTAACCCTCTGAATGATTTAGTACTGAATGAAATAGAGTTGTTTGGCGGGTATCTGAATAAAACAATTATTTTGCAAATATAACTACATATTTCATATAAATCAAACAAACGTAACATTATTAGTTCAAAACAAGATTTCATATTAGTCCAAACAAACATAATTTTTCAAATTCAGGAATAAACAAAAATATAACAATCAAATTCCAACATAATAGTTTTAGAACAATTCTTAATTTGACGGATTTAACATTAACTGATTCGCAATCTGGTCATGTAAATTAGCCATATATTGATTGTTTTGAGTGCCAAAAGGCATTCCATCCATGTCATCTTCATCGCTTCCCTCGATTTCTTCTTGTCCCTCGGCAATAAACATGGGGTCATTGTCGTAATCCATGGATAACTGATCGTGGATATTGCATCTTCGTATAAAATTATGAACCGCAAAACAGACAATCACAACGTTCCTTTGTATGCGAAAAGGATAGGGAGTCATTTGCTTTAAAATTGGAAATCTTGCCTTCAAGACACCATAGGCACGATCGATAACGTTTCTGAGTTGCGCATGAGCATGGTTGAACCTTTCTTCTTTGGTCAAGGCACGTTGTCGTCGAAAATCAGCAAGCCAATACCTCGTATTGCGATATGGAGTCATAAAACCACGAGTATTGGCATAAGCAGCATCACATAGATAATACTTATCTACAATCGAAATTTGAGTTTCAACCCATTATATAAAATGTATAAGAGATGGTAAACATTTAAAGTTGAATAAAATTTTACATACCTCGTGGAGGAAATGGAAAGCCAGAGGTTAGACTAAAAGCAACTTCTCTCAACACTCTAGCATCATGTGCTATACCCTCCCATCCAGCCCAAACATACGTGAAAAGCATATTAAAATCACAAATACCTAAAACATTTTGATAACATTCACTTCTTCCTCTACCTCTATAGTGAGCTTGTTGATCAACAGGCACGACTGCGTATATGAGAGTTTCATCTAATGCACCCATTGCCCCTTTTATTTAGAAATACAAATTAATAGAAAATATAACAAGCTTGTTGGTTTTACAGAATATAATATAAAACTTAGCGGAAATATTTGTCTGAGGTTTCTTTGACGTTCTGATGTGTTTTGCGTTGCCTCAGAGGATGTCAGTCGTATAACTTCTTTTGCAAATTTCATTATTGCTCGTAGCACTTCACGAAAGTTTCTATGAATAGTCTTCGTAGAGTGTTGAAATCTCTGTTTAACCATTCTAAAGCGTTCATTATGGCCAATAGTTGTAAAAAATATAGTCATCTTCTCCTCGACGGTGACATTCCTACTATCTTGCAACCAATTTTTTTTGTTTAAAATGGTTGCATAATAGTATATACGCGTCCCGAGAAAGCCGCATCAATTTAACGCGTTGTGTATTCGATCCGGCTAACAATTCTAGTGTATATGCATGTCCAGTTAAGGCAGAAGTGTTATCTCTTATTTGTTCTATTCTTGAAGAAAGTTTGTATTTCCAATACCAATAGATGATCATAACTAGCAAAAGTTCTTCTTCAAAATCCATGTATTACCTTGAAACACATATTAAGCACATGAGAAACACATATATTAAACAGGAAAACCATAAATAAACACAAATCAAATCCAAAACACATTTTACCATAAATAAATCCATTCCAAAACACATATTCCAATCAAAAAATAAACACAAATCCAAAAGATATGTTCGAATCAATAGCATGAAGTTTAATTGAAACACATATCCTCCCAAAAACATAGTCTAATCAAACCCACCAACTAAAGTAGTCCATACTTGCGTGCCATAAGTCTAATCCAATTCTCACACTTTGCTGGTTCTAAACGCATCCACATTTTCCTATAGTCGGCATTTTCGACTAAAACAAAGAGTGCTATATCATGCAACGGTGCACCCCATCCAAGTTCCTCTAACTTCTTCAAGCAATCATCAATGTCATCTTTTGCTCCTCCATGCTTCTCTAGCATAACATTCATAACATTCAAAATAGTTTCTTCAACTTCCGTTTTTTTGAAGTACTTATTTCTTTAGCTTTCTGCTTTTTGCTTTGTATCGGAGGACGAAAAAAACACTCTTGAGTTGAGGGTGGCCCCCCGGTTTCTTGAGTTGAGGGTGGTGCACCGGTTTCTTGTGTGTCAGGTATATCTTCATTCAAGTTGGGATTAGAGTCATAAGTATCGGGAATTGTAGATATTGTTCCATAACTCTCAAGCCCAACACTAGCAACCCCATCAAATAGTTGCACACAGAGTTCAGTGTAAAGCAATCTGATACTTCTCAATGGTTCCATGTATTTACTTTGTTGTTTTAAAAAAATTATATCCATATAAATAAATATATTATAAAAATATAATTATGTAAAGAATAAGAAAGAAAGTGACCGGAATTTCTATCTTCCATTCTTCATCAGATAGATTGAAGGTGTTGGTTGATGGATCGTAGACATTGGTCGTTTTATTTTTCAATTTAGACCATGTTGCGTATTTTCCCTTTAGGTAGTCATAGTGATTTTTCATTTGTCGTTGGTCGACGATAATATTATGTTTTCTTTTCAATTCTTCTCCAACATTCTTCCACGACTGTGACTTAAGACTACTACCTTCTCGTCCATTTTTAATTGTCTCATGTATACAAGCTTCAAGAAATGTTTGAACCAACCCTTCCTTTTTCCATGTAATCCTACGTTTCTTTTGGTGCAAAGATTCACCAACTAATTCTATACCTAATCCAAACAATTTTATAAAGCGACCATAACCATTACCATAACAATTACCTACAAATGTTCTAAGTCAAGTCAATAAATGAACAAGTCAAGAATTCAGTTTATTAAGTTTATTAAGTCAAGTCAATAAATGAACAAATCATACAATTTTAAGTAGTGAAGAAATGTCCAAAGCAGTGAAGAAATGTCCAAAACAGTGTGTAGATCCAAGAAAGTCAAGAATTCAGTTTATTACTCCAAGAAGATGAAATTTGGAAAGAAAAAAGGAACAACTCCAAATTGCTAACAGTAGGTTTGTGAACAAGTCCAAATTGCTAACAATCAAATTTATTAGCAACAGGGATCGATATAGCCATTTTCTAACAGTAGGCTTGTGAACAAGTCCAAGTTGTTCACACAAGTAACAACAATCGTAGAGGAAACGGTATAGGAAGCGTGGAAATACCTGTTGTGAATAACAACAATCATTTTCTAACAGTAGGCTTGTGAACATTTTCTAAAAAATGTCGAAAGTGAATAACCCCGAATCAACTTGGGGTATAGCCATTTTTCTGTTTCTCATGAAAATCAATCCCATCCAGATAACGCAGAAGCAGTAGGGCGAGGAAATACCTGAAGCGATGAGGAAAAGGATGGAGGGAAGTAGTAGGGGCGGCGACTGGAAGAGCTCTTGGAAGACGACAATCGAACGACCTGGTGGAAGAAGGCGACCGGAGACGGCGACCGGAAGAGCGACGATCATGTGGGGGGGAGCGATGTGAAGGCACGACTGGTGTAGAGACTAGAGAGGGCAAACTTGGAAAAAGTGAAATCTGAATGGTTTAGTGAAGCCCTAAACACAAAATGGTTAAGAGGTTAATGTAACCATTAAGAGCCTTATTTTTTTTTTTTTGCGAAACATCCCTTATCTCTTACTGATTAAGAGGTTGACTCTTAACGTCACCATTAAGAGCCAAACAAACAGCTCCTAAACTTTAATAACTATTTAATTTTAACAATTCTAACATTAATTATATTAATAAAATATTTAATAATAAAATATCATTTTTCTTTGCTAACATTTAATTTCAATATTTTGAGGAAAAAAAATTAAAATATTGTCTCTCTCTTTTCTACGTAGTTTTAGAGATTTTTTCAAATTTAAAGATTTTTATTTAATCTTTTTTATTTTATTTATTTTAGCATATCATTTAGTATAGCTATTGGAAAGAGAAAAGTTCTTAAATCTTCAAAGTTTTTTGTTTTAGCATATCTGTTGTAAATGCTCTTATATTGATAAAGTTGTATGCATGGATTATCTTGTGTATTCTACATTAAGTTTTGCTCTATAAACTTACTGAATAAGTCGATTTCTATATCGTTAAGCATTATCAAACAGTTACTTATAGTTGAACTAATAAGTTGTGATCATCATTAAGCTCATTAAGCTACTAACAAACAGACCCTAAGTTCTGATTGATCGAATAAGTTGTAATTGTCACTAGTATCAATTTATTAACAAGAAGATAGTTTAATTAATTGGTTCGTTGAATCGGTTTTTCTATTAGTATTTGTATCGGCTTCATATGTTTTAATTTTTATCAAATTACGCGATCCAAATAAGATTCACCGAACGGTTATCAAGTAAGCATGACAAAGATCAAGAATCTTATATGGTATGACAAAAACCAACAATTTACCCATTTCCTGGGAGAAAAGACTATTACAGGGTAAGTGCTTATCGGGTAAAAGACATTCTATGTTAATGGCCAAAGATGTATCTCAATAAGATACATCATGATCGTAACTTTTATCGATAAACGGCTACTTAATTTAATCAGTTTCGATTTATTTGATTCGGTAATTAAGGAAACCAAACAAAAGCACATATAGTTTTTCTCAAAACATTTGTATCGAATAACTTTTTTTCAAAAAGCAATATTCATCGTCAAACTTGACAAGTAAACTAATATTAGATGAAAAAATTATTTCAATTCATGTTGTATTGTATATAAAAACGAACACTTATATACGTTTCTCCAGTTTCATCAATGGCTTTATATCGCTTAAAAGAAAGGACTTCAACCTCCATATATAACTATAATATATAAAATAATAGGAAAATTAATTAAAATAGTCATTTTGACCGGTTGTTTTCACCTCTTTGTCATTTCTTTACAAGGTTTACCAAAATAACCCTAGGTCTTCAATTTTAAATATTTTTGTGGACCTGGGTGAAAAATGTAATTTTTCTCTGCAGGGGTAGAAAATGTAAACTTTATTTGTCGTTTAGCTAGGTTCGCAATTGCGGACCTAGGATTGTTTTGGTAAACCTTGGAGTTATCAATTTATTTGGTTTAACTGAAATATTAAAAATTAAAACGAACTAAATAAAGTATTCTTATTCAGTTAAACAAGTTGTTTAACGAGGCAATCGAATAATCCAAACCTTTGTTGGTTCAAGTGAGTTATTCAGTTTCGAGTTTTTTCGTGAGAAAGGAGAATCAACTGAAAGCAGAGAGACCCCCTTCTTGCTGTAGTCATGAGAATTATGAAGATATCCTTATGCTGTGGTTTTTATTTATCTCTAATCAAATGACCTAGGATATACTGTTACATACTTCTTGATACTCTCAAATTCGAGAGTTATTTATGGTTCAATTCTCTTATTTTGTATCATTTTATGTACCCACTTTGTCTCTTTCTCTTTCTTTTGGTCTAAAATTGTAACTCCTACGAATTTCGAGCTTCTAGTTTTGATTAACTCTTATCGAAGGGTGTTTAAGATGATATTCTATGAGAGTTTTCATTTAATAGTCATGTTGGAAAGGTTGGGATTTGAATCAGGATTGAAAAACGCAAAAACCGGCAAAAAAGAGTGAAAAATTGCCTCATGCGACCTGGTCACCTCCTAAGTCGCAACCTTTGTTTGATGGATTTTGGGTCTTGGGCAACCTTCCACGTACCTAAGTCACGGGTAAGGTCACGTGAAGGGCTGGAGCTGCATAAATGACCAAAAATCGAGGTTTTCTTTAGTTGGCCATAACTTTCTCATTTCTTATCTGACTGGGGCGATTTCAGATGCTATGGTTTCATATTTTGAAGATCTTAAATGTGGGAACAAATAGAATTAAAGTTTATTTGAAGATTTGGGGTTTATAAAAGTCGAAAGGTAGGTCTATAACCAACCATTTCTTAACCTAGGGTTTGGCTTTTCACTTCAACCCTCATTTCTTATCTTGGGTTTGTTTGTGTATGTTTTGAGGGTAAATGGGGTACTCTTGAGAAGTTTTGCATTATAGATCTCGAAGTTCAGCTTGGAGAATTAAAGTCTTCATCAATGGAAGCTAAAGATTGAGTTTGGTAACTAGTTTTAACCTAACCTATCAAGGTGAGTTCAAGTTAATTTATAAAAACTTTATACATGTCAAAAAATGTCTATTTGAAGTCTTGAAGTATTTACCTTAAGATTTATCAAATGTTGTCATCTTTTACATATTTGGTCTTATAAAATATTGAGAAGTATATATATATATATATATATATCGGATTTTGGATTTTTTGATAAATAAATCATAGATGTGGGTTCTTGTGATGATTTATTTTTCATATGGGATTATTTGATGTTAACATACTTTTGGTATTTTGATTTTTATAAGTCATTCAAAAAATAGATATGCTTGAGCTGTTGGGCACATTTTGGGTGTCATTACTGATTCGGGAAATGTTTTCTTGAAGTTATTGTGTGATTTCAAATTTTGCCTAACCTTTAAATCGATAATAAAGATATTCATATCTTTTGGGCATAAGTTCTATAAACTTTGGGTAATTTGTATTTTATTGAATAGTCAATTGAATTGTTGAATTATTGGTAGTTTTGACTCAGATGAGTCTTAGGGACAGTTGTCTAGTTTTTAGTTCCCCTATGTTGAGCTTGGACATGATATGAAATTATTGCATTGTTATTTGAGAATTACATGTTTTAAGTATGTTGATCATTCATTTAGAGTCATGTAAATTAGACTGTCATGCATTGGATCTATATGCATATGTGTCAGTAGTCTTTTGCCAAACGAAGAGTTTTGATGTTCTGGTCTTGGGACCATAAGGTTTAGCCAAGTGAGAAGTTTTGATGTTTTCATCTTGGGCCCTTTTTGGTTGTGACAAGAGAGAAGTTTTGAGGTTCTCTTCTTGATATCAATGGTTTGGAAATAGGAAGAATTTTGATGTCCTCACCTTATAACCTTTGATTTAGGTAAGTTAGGAGTGATGTTATCATCTTGTGACTTGGGGAATGACTAAGTAAGTAGTTTCGATGTCCTTATCGTATCTCCAAATAGAGTAATTACCAAGGCTTGCTAGGGGGTTCGGGAAATTTTCAAACTAAAACGAGGGTTGCACTCGTTGGGAGACTTAACCCAACACCTTATGGCACGAGCTAACGACAGTTATACATAAGCAAAACATTGAAAATGGTACTTACTCTTTACTTTTCTACCCATCCCGACACCATCATTGTGGGAATGTACATGCGGTAGAAAAATTACGTTTGTTCCCCCTTCTTCCTTACCATGGGAAGTCTTTGTGAAATAACTCTGATGAGAAGAAAAAAGATCTCCTGTTGTTCCTCGGTAGCTCAGTGGTAGAGGATATAGAGCCAATTTGTCAATTTTTTGTATTCTTTGGAATTTTGTTTCCCCTCCTGGTAGTATCAATCGAAATGCCTTATTTGTAATTTGCTCGTCAACATCTCGGTGTGGCTTATTTAGTGTTCCGCCACTTGATGGAAATGAGTTTTCCCCATCACTGAAATGCGTTATTCCTGGATAGTGTATCATCCATGTTTTAGTGTTGTTTTGGGTGCGATGTGTATCCACATTTTATGGTTTTGGTTATCCATGTTTTGTTGTTTTAGGCATTGAACCTTATCCATGTTCATTGGATATCTTAGAAAATAAAGTTTTTATCCATATTTTCAGTACTTGAATCTTAAATCTTATTCACATTTTGGGTGAGTATTGGGTTTGCTTCATGGTAAATTAGGTGATTTCGTCACCAAATTTTCATCACGAAAATAATGATTTTGAGAATGATGTTTTTCTACAAATATATTTCATTTTTGAATTGTGATTTAAATAGTATCTTTTCCAGTTTTACTATTTTATATTAAAGATAAAAATTGTTTGAACTCACTAGACGTTAAGCCTAACTTTTTTTATTATTTGGCATGTGCATCGGGTCCTCTTGGAGAAATGTACTAGCAATATTGTGATGAGTTGACTGCTAGTTCGAGGAATGAGGAGGAAATAGTCATTTAGGGACGTTTTCCGTAACTTGGAGGTAGCGACCCTTGTTGGATTTTAGTAACACTCCGTCCTTATTATAGACCTTGTGTAAGGTTTGAATTGTAATAATTTATGTTAAACCTTAAGTTGTCATTTTAGGTGATTCAGTTATTCCATGTTAGAAGGGAATTTACCTTTCAACCGATGTATTTAGAACAATTTAAATGAGTCGCTCTTTTCAGATTTGAAGGTGTTACAAAAATGTTTTTAATATGTAATGAAATGCGAAGGTGTAACACCCTCAAATTGGGAACCTTTTTCATGAGTCATGTAACCTCTCTTGTACGAAACCTTCTGTCTATGTGTTATGCATGACCTCTTTTCATGTGTATGGGGTTTGAGGACCAAAATCTGGAGTTTGTATGGAAACAGAACCCCACGTGGCTAGCTGTTCGACCTAAGTCGCGGTTGTAACTCATTGGAGTCTAGGGTAAGATTGAGCAGGCGACTAGCCTCACAACTTTAGGGCTAAGTCGCGGCAAGGTCCAAATCCACTTTCTAGCTACGTGTTTTATTTCTAGGATTCGTTATTTACTTCTCACCTACTATCCTTTTATATCTGAAATTTCCCTCTTCCTCCTTATTTATTGCGATTATTGGTGCATTAAAGGAAGTGGTTCTTCATCATTTAAGGGTTGATTCATCATCTAGGCGAAATGTTCAAGCTTCAAGTTCCCATCTCCTTACCCAGAGTGTTTTATTGATTTTCTAGGTTTTTATTAAAACCTAGTATTGTGAGTTCATCCTACACTTTTATAAAACCATATACATGTTAAAATGTTGTATTTTAGTTTCTTAAAACTTTTATTTCATATATTTTTCACTTTGGGTGATTTTAGACCAACTGGGTCTTTGTGATTTCTGGGATTTGATACGTTTTGATAAAACAAGTGTAGGGAATGAATTTATATACACTAGGAGTAAATACTTCAAAGTTTGATAAGTTTTAGAACCTAAACTTAAGATGTTCATATCGTTGATTTTATGGGTAAAATGTCGTTTTACTCACTTGATGGGTATTTGTATACAAATGATGTTAGGTTGGGTACAGGATGATGTATTTAGAATGTTACATACCTTAGACTAGAATGCAATGAATCCATAGGCATGGAAGTCGCTATAATTTATATGTTTGGGACGATACTCTCTAATTGTAACTTAGGCATTAGGTCTTCATAGGCAACAAAATGTGTACTTTTGGAGTCAGACATCGGTCAATGACCAAATTCTAAGTGAACGAGCTTAACTTAGATTTTGGAGATCTTAAGGTATAGACCTAGTGTAGTTGAACTTGATGTCTCCACAAGTGATAGACTTGGAGTAGTTGAGCTTGTTAACTTGTTAATCTGTAGACCTGGAGTAATTGATATTAATTATTGTTGATCCGCAAGTGATGCTTATATAACATTGAAACGTGACTTACTTTGTTCCGTTACTGTCAACGGTAGATAGGGTCTCCCCTGCCCTCGTGAAATGTTTTATGCCCTTCCAATGGTCAATTTGATTTAAATGGGTAAATTGACTTGATTAAAGCTATGTTTCAGTTTTGATGTTTTATAGTTTTATTCTATAACTGTTTAAACTCACTAAACGTTAAAGTTAACAATTATTCTTAAAATGACATGTATATCAGGGTCCCTTAGCATTGGGGTTCCAAAGGCTTGAGTGGAGCGGTGTGCCAGTAGTGGCATTTTTGGGTTACCTTCTTTTGGAGGATATTTGTGGAGTTACTTTTGATAGTATTCTTTAAAGTATTGTAGCGACATCCGGTTGGAATCTAAATTTGGAATTGGTTTAGATTAATTAATAGGTTGTTAGCTAACGTCCATCTATTATCATAAACTCTCAATTATTTCCCCTTTGTTGGGCGATTATATTTGATTTACTTTTAGTCCGCTTTATTTTTACGGTTTAAATTATCTCCTATTTTAGGAGTGTTACACAAGGATTTAGTTTTGTTCTATAATCGTCGGTGTTGGATTGTGGCCACAGTCTAGCCACTGTGGGAGATTTCGAGGCAGATTTAGAAAAGATCTCAATTCCTACTTTTTAGCCAAAAAGTCTGAGCAATAATGAAAGTAGAAGGGGAAAACTTTTTTTTCTTCCCTTTTTTTGTGTTACCTTTTTTTGAAGAAATCCGATGTATAAAAGGATGTGCAACTGTCCTTTTCCTCTCATACAAATTGAAGCCTTGATGAAGCATTGCAGATACATTCATACCAAGCATTCAACATTCTCTAAACTGGTCTGGAGTAGGAAGAAAAACATTTACTTTATAGCATTTATTTTTGGTTGTAGTATTTATTTAATTAAAAGCATGGTTCTAAATAACTTGTTATTGAGTCAAGGCTTGGGTTCGCCGTCACGTTAACCCTATGGCTTCAATCTAAGGCTTGACTTGTATTCTAATGTGTTATGGCACGTTATGACGCGTTATTTTGTAACATGTGGGATTACTTTAATATATAAATTGATGGATAAATGATAATTTTGGATGAAATCTAGGACTTAAATAAACATAGAAAGAAAACTTAAAAACTAAAACCTTAAATATGTAAATACTTAGGGGGCCGTTTACCTAAATGCTTACCTGGTAAGTGTTTAACATTAGGAGTCAACACTATAATTTTATTTTATTTGGTAAGATTGTATTACATCAAAACGTATCATATACAACAATTTACCTGGTAAGCGCTTACCGGGGGTAAGAGTCGTCACCCTCACTTATCGGATAAGACTACTCCATCCTTATCATCGTTCTTACCGGTTAAGATTCTTGTCCCTTGTCATGTTTATCCGGTGAGAAAAATTACCCGGTAAGTACTTACCGGGTAAGCGTTTAGTAAACAGTCCCTTACTCACATTCTCGTACATGAAAAGTCGAACATGAATTCTTTGAAAATTGAAGAAAGTAGTAAGTAAAGATTCAAGAGATTTAATCTTGATTTTGTACTTTTAATGTCATTTTTTATAAGCTTTATATATTGGGTATTATGGTTCTTCTTTCTTTATTAATTTTATTACTTTATATGAATTTAATTTGTTTTATAGTATTATTCAAAACACTTACACACACAAGTGTATATATGGGCCTAATTAAATGAGAACTCAGTAGTCTATGATAACGGTTAGATGCAATGTAAGCAAATCATTTAAGATAGTCAATGTTATTTCTTAAAATAAAGTAAAGTGATAAATTGGTAATTTGATAGTCCTATTTTGTATTTAATTAAATTATTTAATAACTCATCTCTCCATATTCTAATTTTGTATTACCAAAATTGTCACTTAGGGGCTGTTTACTAATTACTGACTGGGCTGACTTGGTCAGCATATCTGACTCGGTCAGCAGTCAGAGTGTTTACCAAATCATATATCTGATTGAGATCTGATCGATATCTGACCGAACTACTGACCCGGCCCGCATCGATTTCATGCTTACCCTGGTCAGATTTTCCCTTTCCATACTTGCCCCCTTTTCACCATTTTCACCAAGTCGCTCCCTCTCTGCTCATCCTCCTCCCTTTTCATCGGTTCTCATCCACCATGGGAAACCCATCTCTGAATCCAACATCATTGTCCAGTACATCGATGAAGCCTGGCAAAACAAGCATCCGCCATTGTTGCCTTATGATCCTTATCTCAAAGCCCAAGCCAGGTTCTGGGMTGATTTCGTTGACAAGAAGGTACCTTCATTTGTCATATATTTCTTTTGGTTCTCGATCTAATTTTTGTGTGTGTGTGTGTTTTGGGGAAAAAACACGCAGATAAATGATGGTGCGAGGAGGATATGGAGCACGAAAGGAGAAGAGCTGGAAAAGGCAAAGAGGGAGTTGATAGAGTGGCTGAAGGTGTTGGAATGGCAGCTTGGGGATAAGGCGTATCTGATGGGGGAGAGGTTTGGGTATGCAGACATTGCGATGGTGCCTTTCTACTGATGGCTTCAAGTTTGAGAATCTTTAGGCAATGTTTTGATCAAAATGAAGAAGAGATGTGGTGTGAAGAGAAGAAATGGATGTTAGATCTGAGAACAGTAGTGTGCAGGTGGTGAGGTGGGCCAAGATACCAACCCAAGTGATTCAAAGAACCAGCATTTTGATTTGAATGAAAAGATTGTTGGGTTTATGTTTATTTTCATATCTTTTACAGTTAATGAAGTGATTTTGATTTTGATTTTCATATCATATATTATTCAATATATAATTACAAATAGGGTTATAATGGTCATTATATTTTTGGTAAGCACTTACCAAAAACATTTGGTAAACATTCTTACCCGGGACAGCACTTACCGGGATAGCACTTACCCGGGTCAGCACTTTTACCCGGACAGCACTTACCCGATAAGATTTGGTAAACAGCCCCTTAGTGTTGTAAACACGTTATAGACAATGGGTATTACAGTGGGTATCAGCGGGCAACAAAGTGTATACAATGAGTATTACAATAGGTATCACAAAGTTGGTGTTGTGGACTTGTTGAAATAGGTATGGTATCGACGTGTATATAATAAGTATCACAGTGGGTATCACAATGTATATACAATAGGTATCACAATGTGCATATTGTATGTATCTTGGGTATCACTGTGAGGATTGTTTGTAAGTATTTTTTTTTTAACAATGACGATGTTTTTTAGGTATCACATTGTATATCTTGTATTCATATGGTGTTCTTCGCAATAAAATTCATCAAAGAGGAGAGAAAAAAGAAATAAAATTTCTAAAATATCATTTAATTAAAGTTTAAAGTCAAATTGTTAAAATTTATTAATTTCTGATTTATCTTGGTTTGTTCTATTTATACTCCCTTACGATATCTCTCCCAATTTACATGATGTCAAAGTAAAAAAAAATCATTATTTTTTTTATTAGCCTGGATATTCAACTCGTTATGCGAGCTGATTAATCCCAGGACGACCACCTGCTTTGCAGATGGCCCGGAGTCACCACATTTGAACCTCCGTGGCCACAAGGGGATTTTTATTTCTCCTTGAATTTGAACCTGAGACCTCCAGGTACTTTTGACCTTTGGAGCCAAGCTCAAACCAATCTGTACTTTTAAATTTATTATTCTTTTTATCAGTATTATATATGGTTTATTATAATATTATGTTATTATAATAATATTTTTTTAGTTTATTGGTTTTAATTTATTGTATATGTTTTAATCAATTAATTTTTGGAATATTTTAGTTTTTATTCTTC